TTCTGTTGAACTGTAAACTCTGGCTCAGGAGCAATTTTGGGTTGCATGTAGAGTTCTCGGCGCCAGTTGGTGGCTACAAATCCAGGCGTCTATCATCTGACGGAATCTTTTGACTGCATGTCAGTTCTGCGGGGCGAGCTGATGGGAACGTGCACCAGAGTTGCATGTTCAACGTCATCTCGTCATTTTTTCGTCTGGCGTCCATCGATGTTATACGTGTTTCGGACGCCAGCTTCTTGCGTAATTGTGGCCACCACTCCATCACCTTTACCGCCACGTGTTCGGTTTGTAGTGTTACTTTTACCACCTGTTAACCATTTCGCCCATAGTTTGGCGATGATTGCGACCTTGAGATAGAATTGACGATCACATTTTCGAGTGCGGGTACCTTGCGGATGAAGCGCCATTCATCCAAGGCATGCGCTTTGGACTCTAGGTCACCTGGAATCTGAAGCTCGGAGACAGAGTGGACAACAAGGGATCTTACGCCTTTCGGTTTTCCGTGGTTGTCAAGCTTAGTTTGTGTTTCTGGCGTTCACTCCATGGCACATCTGAACAAATGCGAAGACTGCGCTGAAAAGAGAACGGTCTCTATAGCACCGCCGGACTGAACGGTTATTTGGAGTAGTCGTAGTTCACCGTAGTGTGCCGAGTTTGGATGACGCACGAGGCGCATCATCCTGGAAGGCTTTGCTTGGACTCCAATTATTTGACAGATAGCATCCAAATCGTACTGATCGTCTAGTAGCTTGGCTTTGGTGAGGTTTGTCTTGGATTCGAGCATATAACCGTAAGCGAATTATGCTGATGTCTGGTGTTTTCCTTTTTGGATGAGTGTGCGGCTGGTTTCTTTGGTCTGACTACAGGTGGCCCATTAGACCCTTGACTGTATTTGTGACTATAACGATTCCTATTTTGACAGCGATGGAGGCTATGGTGGGTGGTGCATCTGTCATGTGGGTGGCAACGACGGACTTGCATGTTGCTGGTCTCTCAGCAATGTTGAAGATACGGGGAGGCTTGATGAACTATTCTGTCCGAGAGCATAATCAGAAGCGGCAAACCCTACCTTGGCAGTAGTCTGCGTGGTTGACGTGCGCAACTCTGGATCATTTTTCTCACCCCGAATTAAGCGCTCTTTTCCGAATTGGAGTTTGATGTTGTACATCCAGCTCAACGACCTGATTCCACCAGGTCCAATGTGGCAGGTTAGTCAGCAGTTGCTCCCTGTGCAAGCTCTGCCAGTTTGTTATCTGCACCAACATAAGTATGCATGTCACGCGTAAAGTAGCCGTAAACTCCTTTCAAAACCAGACGGAGTCAGTTGCGTTATTTCTTATTTTATCCCGCTTAGGCTAAGAAGACAACAGTTAGGATGGCATATTTTTAAACTGTAAGCGCGCTTTATTCTAACTTGCACATTCTTGAGGCAGCCTCCACAATAAGCGGTCAACTGCAATTCTTTAGGCCTAGCTCTCCGTGGGCAGGCGCTGCTTGCCATAGTGATCGCCAATTGAGTCACGTCACTGGAAGTGTCGTTTGTCGCGTGGTCTATCCTAGCAGTCGGTGTGGTACTGCCGCTCAGGCACGTATGAAGAATGTTTTGTGGACTAGGCTTGCACGTGACGCACAAACACGCACACGATATGTGATGACTTACGGCCGGCAGACTGAATGCGTCAGACCTAATCGTGGCTGTGCAATGTCTATGTCGTTAACTGACACACAGCGTGTTTGAACCGGCACGAGATGTCGACTTACAGTGCCCTAGGAGTGGAACCACAGTTGCAAACAGAGGACGGAAGCCAACACACAAGCTTTCTGGTGAGTGCAGTGGCCAGTTGGCTAGCGATCAGGCGGGCTTTGGCTTAGTAGAAAGTTAGGTTTTGATAGGCGTTGTAGAATTCACGCTAGTCTGGTGAGTGTTAAGATGATAGCTGGTAAATGTGCTGCAGCTATCAAGCAGAGTGACCGGTTTTGTGCTAAGAAATTGGCTGGATAGTGCTAAGAGCACTCTGTTGTATGAGAGTACAAATGAAATAAGATTGCTGAGTGCTTGAATTTATGTGAAAATTTCGCCGAAACTGCAATAACGGATGCAACAAGCATGTGTGCTAGATACTCCTGCAGTGGTAGGTCCAATGGATGACGCTGATAAATCCGAGTTGGATAACTGTAAGCACTGTATTGTGCGTCGAGAATGGCGAGTGTATATCTGAAAACAGAGGAGTGTCGTTTCAGTACGGCTACATGGCCTGATGTCATGTGATCATCCACATTTTGTACGTGAACTGGAATACTGCCAAGGTGCCTAAACCTACACAGGTGAACAAATACGGTATTCAGCCAGGGGCACTGGCTTAAATGCCTAATGTAAAATCTGCACTAACATGGTAATAAATTAGTTTATAGAATCATTGACCATCCCGTTTCCAAGCACAGAATTTTGTGGGCCATGAGACTGAGTTCGTCTAACCTCTAGCCACTGTCCCATCTGACAGGAATAGCTCTTAAGGATTCCTTTGCGCCGCTCGGCACAGCTCAACGAACCAAAAGGCAGCCTAGGTCGTCGCATTACTTTGAGCTCCAGTCTTATCACTACGACTGCCTGTGTATATTTCTGTACGTTTGATTTAACGCGTCATCTGAGTAATTTCATCACTGATCATAAGCCACTGTCTCTGGAAGCGGATGAGTTTGTTTTCGATGTTAATGCCACATCTAATCGTTCATCAGGCGCACCTGATTGGTTGTTAACTTGGTGACTATTATTGGCTTATTCAGTCCAGTGACTTTGGTTTCCACATCTGTGCTTCGTGTACTTTGTCGTATTTCTTTACCTCAGTGCAATAAAATAGCGCTAAGTTGTGAAGGGATTTTGGCTCTGTATATCATCATGGTTTAACTAGTGCTAAAAATAATCGACTACGTCTTGAACCAGTTAGTCTTTAGCATTATCCCATCTGTTAAATGGCTATTCCAAGCGCAAGGTTACAGTTTACTTAGAACGATAGTCATCATTTATCCACGATATCAGAGGTCACATATATTCCAGACAATTATGAATTTGATTGGTATTATAATACCCTTTAGTCAATTAGGAGTTGAGAACAACAAGTAGACTGCGCCTTTGACAATAGGAGGGAAGGTTAAAAGTTTTACATATGTTGATCGTGAGTACGAACTTGACCCCATTTGTCATGCGTAACAGTTTACCCGCTTTGTGTGCAGCATCGACTAGCAGCAATATCTGGATGACCATCCCATTCAAGAATTTTCCCTCTCTGGAACGACGAGTATTCATCAACCAAGCATACTTGATGTGGTTGAAGTGGCAGCCGTATTCACATAAATGAAGCACACATGTTATCATTGTAGTTACGTGCATAGTAAAAAGGATGGGAGCTAGGATACATTCCCGATCCACACCACAGACAGCATCCAATCCATTCTAGGTATTCAAATGATTGCGCCTTCTCTCGTATGTTTGTTTACGAGCATTTGACTGAAATGAATTGCTTACCGGAGCATCCAAATTCACTCAAAATTAGCGACGATGCCTCAAAACTTAAGGTGTCGAACTCCCTGGTGGAAACGGAACTGCATTCACAACGTACTCGAACTTCATATACCATCCGTACTGCGTACAATTATATTTTTGTTCCCATTGCTCATCTATCACGTTGATCCATTGGGGTTCTCGGCTCGATATGTGTTCTTTTGTCTGGCTTGAATCCTTCAATCAGGAAGGTAGCAATTTAATGTTTGCACCAAGCTGTCAGGCACTAACGAGCCACGGCGTTCTTACTGCAACTTGGAGTTGCATTCAAAAGAGCAGAAGTAAATAACCTGTTTCAATGTCTTTTCATCTGGCGTATTTTCCGTGCGATGAGTTACGTACTGCAACCTTGCTCGTTTCATCATATAGTATAACGTGTGTTACGTCCAATATACGTTGATGCATCAATAACACTAACTGCTATACGATCAGAATCGATCGATTGAACCTAGTACCATAAATCAGATCATAGTTTGTTTTAATTTACTGGAGCCATGTGGGTCACGTGGTTAGTTGGAACATATTCTGTCAGGTACTGATGTAGGGGAAACGCCGTCAGCCGTCCGAGAACCGACGCAGCGTTTGGTGACAGATACTAAAGCCTAAAGATACACAGCACTGAAAAATCTGCTTTCGGACCATTTAACGACTACAAATATCAGTACAGCCCAGAAAGTGAAGTCACGTTGCAGTTTTATTCTCAAATATTCAGGAAATAAGCGGAAGAAAACAACGGACCAAAACTTTAATTACTCAAATAGCGTGATTTAAGAACGATAAATAAACAAGTATGCTGCGTAGTGTTCATATTTCCAGCCCGAAAGCGGGTATACACATGCTGTAAAGCTAAAATTATTCATTTAACAATGATGGCAAGTAAAGTCCGTTTCAATGGAATAGAGTATAAAGTTATGAAAAAGGGACCGAATTGCATCACATTAACAGTTCTACACGATTAGAATACCAACTGGAAGGATCTGTCCTTTCCTCATCAATGAATTGCTTTCTCATTGCGAAGCGAATGGTTCCTGATCCCATGACATTATGTTTTACCTTAGTATACGGCTCGAAAAGCTTCAATCCCTTGCCAAGTATTCAGAAGATTAGGCAAACTAGCATCGAGACAATTTAAGACGGTCAACGGGGACTAGTGGATTAAGCGGGAACTTCTATTTCTGCCACCGTTTACTGCAATCGCTAACTTGATGAATGTCTCTTACCCCTAGGTGCGCAACCTCATTGTCTTATTGCTAGGAAAGCTTCCGTAAATATAACAGATTTATTAACTACAGTACAACAACTACTTCACCAATGGGGCTTGTTCAACTCCTTACGACTTTAAGCTGCTCACTAACTTGTTTCGTCCTTTATGTCGAATTCCAACATTTTACTGCATCTCGTGCATATAATAACGGTACTAATGGTATTTTTTACCTGACAGGTTAACTTCAGCTTCGTCAGATGGTCCGAACTGCTCACTTTGGACAATAAAATTCTGATTTCATCGATCAGAGACAATCAGTTCACCGAACTAATCTACCTTCCTTACAACAGCTGCGATATGGAAGAACAGGATACAGTTGAAACCAATTGTTGGAAAGCTAAAAATGATGAAGTTATCATGCGAACGGGCAGAAAACTTGTGCAACCACAGAGCTCGAGTGGTGAAACTCTGGTGGAACGTACTTCGGAGCCACGTCAAGTAGTCCACGTAATAGATCGAGTCTTCGGTCCAGAGATGAAGGAGTTTGTGTCTAACGTTATGAAAACGCCGTGGCTGCTTGGCCGAGCACATCATCATTTGCGATGTCGTTTCCAGCCGGAGCCGACAACCATACAATACACTCCGTGGGCGGTTAACTCGTTGGGGAAAATGGTTGATCCGCTGCGAATACTAAGGTTCAGTTTTCAACTAAGCCCAGACCTAAAAGAATTCCCAACGGTGAGTTGAGCAAAAGTGGCTTGATTGCAGTTGCAGGATAAGACTGAGTTGTCCTGGTCGATAAAATATTGTTAAATGTATATTTATACAAAGGTGATATTTGCATAGGCACTTTCAGAGACCATAGTTCCAAGGCCGTGAGCACGCAGTTAACAGCTCACGTATTTCTACCTAGATGATGCAAGTAGCGTGGCTAGACAGAATGCAGTCTAGGGTCTATACGCGCGGCTTAGATAACTCATACATGAGCGACCTCTGGTTGTGAACAATTGCTTTATTTACTATCTTATTTTTTCCTAGATCATGAACACAATATTCGAATTAATTGAGCGCCAGGCGAATGGTGACACAAGGTATAGAAAGAATTACGCGCTGAATCTTGGTATCCGAGTCCATTTTACTGGTGGCACCACAACCGGCCGCTTGCTTGGCGTGGGATTCCAACCAGCATCAGAAGGGTCAGCGATTTTGGCTCATCTCACTTTCACTGGTATTACGGCCCCGGGACCTAGTGCAATGTGGACAAGAGCGGCCAATCACATCACCACCGTACTGCTCAGGGATATCCCCCAAAGTATACCACAATGGAAAACTGAGTGGCACGGAATCGAGGTGTGTATGTGTGTATTGTTTACATTGGTGTATTACTGATGCTAAATCCTGTAGTGGGTCATTTTTCCGACCCTGCTCTCAACGCGCATAAGTGGACACAGCATTTCCATCAGAAGCTCCTCTGAAGCAGTCCCAGATGCATTTTAACTCAACAGATCTAACTAAATAAATAAGTCGCTTATCAAACAAGTAAGTGCAAAATATTGGTGCTGCACATAAACTGACAGATAAAATTCGAACATGCTCTCAAAGTTAAATCCGTCTCCAGCTACATTAAATCGGGTTTTATAAAGAAAGGAAATGCACAGTTCTAGGTCGGATATTATTAACCATCGGTCAATGCTAGATAATAATAGGTACATTTCGCTTTAAGTGTGAACCTGCATCCGTAGTTCGCAAAGATCATGTGTGTACGGGTGGCATTATGCTCTTACATGAGCACTACTAAGTTGTAGCGGATAAAATACAATTCCTCGTCGATGAGAGGTACAGTCCAACTGGATGCAACGATTCTTGATCTACAGAAGAATCGCTGGAATTTGTGGTTTTGTTTTTCATAATTCCAAAGCAGTTACCCAACTAATTTTTGGCGGACATGGCTAGTTGATCGGTTAAACCTTAAGAAAGATTGACAGCTCAAAAATGATAATAAGTGTAGATGAATCTAAATATGTACGTGAAGTAATACAGCCATCCATGGAACAATAACTAGACATATAGCCTATGGTTCTCCTTTCGTGAATGTTCAATCTTGAACTAGTTTACGCAAGAAGGACTGATCGGAGAGCATATTCGTTTGACAACTTTTCAGACACCTATGCGGTTCTGATCTGATCCGATAGCAACTGACGATGAGAACTGGTAGGTTACGCACATCGACATAATGTCTCGCTTGAACTAAGTGGATAACGAAAGCTTACGACAGTCGGTTGAAGAGGCATGTGTTTGTATTGTGGAGATGGGAGATTTAGTCGAGTAGATCAATTGCCATGGTCCTACAAGCACACCGGATAAAGGTCCTGCTTTAACTACTCTAACCAAACATATGCTTGCTACAATGAAACATGATGTAGTGATTTTTGGACTGTGGTATTACATCACCGCGGAAGCATAGGACAGAATGCATTAAGTGATATTCGCCTTAGTTTCGCCTTACTAGCGCCTTCGATTATTACATAGGCTGTTCTGCATCGGACACTGAATGATTACCGATCGGAAAACTCCAGAAATAAACGTTACTTGTTTTATTAAGCGAGCCGTTGGCTATTCCAATGGCACCGTTCAGCCGACGCTTTAAATTCATTAACAGAGGAGACTGAACTACTCGCTTAAAATCAGAATCACTCAATTTATTCGCAAGACCACACAGAAAGATTAAAATCTTTTTACTTTTCTATTTTACAACTTTGCGGCCAAGATTGCACTCCATCATATTATTGCTTTGTAGTTGAACCAAAGCATGACCCAACAAGTTTGGGAAGCGAGCTCCCTGTAAACTGGGCGCCGGATTAATGGATCGCACGATAGCTGTTGTTTGTTCGTGTTACGTTGGGATCTTTGTAGATTATTTAGCGCGCATCAGTTTGGGTATCACTACCGTTGCATGTCATTTGTTAAGCGGCATCCCTTCAAGGACTTCTTTCCTTCCGAGTTTACTTGAGAGTCCGATTTTTAGCGTACAAGGTTTTTCTTTGGGGACCAAGCGACTTGTTGATTCTAATACTTGTGACATACCAAGCTATATATTTTAACATAGATCGGGCTCAGATAGTTAGCTGTTCAACGGTGTGTGATAACCACTAGTTATAATTCTATTCATTGATGGAAACACTAGCTTCTTATGAACTACTATTCATCTATCCACTCCGAGTAGAAGCAGGACGGACCCACCCACGCAACTGGTCAGAACTCTGCACCTATTTTTAGTATGCGGGAAGTCGCCCTCTTCCAGCTACTCGCACTCGTTTGTTCCTCCACAGTCCCATGGAACATGTGCATGGCGACTCGTTTATGCCGCATAATCCTCAGGTAGATATCTAACAGTCATACTGAGCTAATAAGGAAACGTGATCCTCAGATAATTTACGCCAAGCAACATAGGATATGCTCTCTTCATTCATCTCAAACAGACTAGCTGTTTATTCACCTTTCCCAGGATTCAGTCGGAAGTTACAGCTTCAAACAACAGGCACTAGAACTGCACAACGTACGAGCCACTTTTACGGCTCTTGTAGTACCTCAGATGGAACTTCTATATTACCTTAAGTAACTAGTATGATACAAACGCGAAGCTCGGTTGGTGATGGAAATGAGTAAACAACGTGTTACACATTGAAAAGTCATTTTGAAGTACTCGTTGTTTGCTCGTAAGGTCACTTTGATTCCAACGGTTTGTGATGAGATTACGACGCACAATCTCAATGTAGACGGGGATGAGCATTGAAATGAAACTAGGTCAATTTGATCACTAGGACCGAAGCGTAACCAGATGCGTCACGTAACTTCTCTTACACTACATGAGCACCTGAGAGTGCCAGATAGTGATTTCACAACTAGAGCCGTTGAATCGAGGAGTACTGACGGCTTTAGTAAACAAAGTCTAGGAAAACAGTTCGGAAATAAGCAGCGTCGAACAGATGATTGACATCAAAACACGTCAGGAGCACTACAATTAGTGGATTATCGGCTTTCGGTGGAACTCCTCCAAACAGCCACTAATTATGGCTGTCGCTCATCAGATCTGTCGATCGCGTGAACTGACACAGCTAGCTTGGACCATCGCTCTCCGAGTGGTCGATACAAATTGCGGCTACAGTTTGGGAAAGTTGTGCTCTGCACCCTTCAGTTTCCTCTGTCTGCGGCTTGGGAGCTGTTTATTCAACACAACAGCTATGGGACCTCGTTTTGTTTTTCTTCTTCGTTAGCGCTTCCGATAGTTGTGCTTACGGCAACTTCATGGCTTTTAGTGAGTTGCGACCACTTGTAACCTGCCCTAGCTTACTAGACTTATAAAACCTATTGTCTTACTTATGGAAGGACAATTGAATTTTAATGTCTCCCTGATGGACTAGCTGAAGTCGTCCAACCTTCTCACCCACTGTGTTCACCCGCTGTAAGTTGCCAACAAGTCCGTTTTTCTTAGTAGATGACTTATCATTGACGGTTTAATAGATAAAACATGTTGCGCAGGTAACTGCACACCGTTCTCACTACTTCTACTTGAGAGACTATTATCGCACTTTGTAAAGCTCACTCCAGTTATCCGGTGTAAGTAGGTTGCAACCCGATTCTCAGATTTATGCAGCCCACGAAAGCACAACTCACGGACGAATTTTAAGCGACGCTACCTTCATAGTATTTCTATCCTGTGATACCAACTTCACTATAGTGAGTGGGGCTTCTAGCTACGGACTTTAAGTAACTAACCACTGAACCATATAATTCCGCCACTTTTGCTTCGGTGGTTAGGAATAAGCTGCGCGTATCTCGCATTGGCCAGCTTGCCTTGGCCGGGATGTGCGCACTAACGTTGCTCGGAAGCGAACGTACGATAGCTAAACTGCGATTTCAGCTCAAACAGTTGAGGTGTCAGCATAAATGCTGATTATGATAAGGCGCTCCAGGGTTGTAGTCTGAAAGACTGAAATCGCATCAGATTGGCGATATTTTCGGGTATGATCAAAATGGGTTTTATTGTCTATATCCAAGTGTTATGGTAATTTAGTGGTTGTCAGATGTGTCATTAGTGGTAGTACTGGTATGTATCTAGGCAACTAGATTAGTGCCTGTGGAATAGACAATGAGGTCACGAACCGTATAGCGAAGACTCGAGTGGCTTTTGTCAATCTTTGTCACTTATGACACCTTCAGGACATCACTATCGCGATGAAAGATATCGTTTAGAATGCAGTTATCCGTTCCATCCTCCTGTAGGATTGCAAAACCTAGCCCACCAGGTCGACAGAAATAAAGAGACTAGCGACGTTCGACCATCGCTGCCTTCGTAGCTTAGCTCATGTCTGGTGGGAACGCCGGTGTCGTGTATTAGTTGCAAGGAACAAGTGGTTGGACCACGTGTTGTGCCTGCCAGCATACCGACTGCCGCGTCGTGCGTTGCTTGCATTACCAGGTGCGGATGGAAGAAGAAAAGGGAAGGCCAACTGATGACATGGTTAAGATGAATGAAAGCTCTCACTTTTTAATTGACTTCGGTCGTGGCTGGGCTCCGAAAGACGATGAACACGTTGGATTGCATAAACTTCTTCACATATCGAAGACCTGACCTCAATGGTTTTGTAGTTTAAGTTTTAGTTGTCCCTGCTCCTCTTCATTAGCTTCCACCTCAATCCACGATTTCATACTCAATGTGTAATATAGCATTTAGCATTGTATTCCACTCTAAGTTTTGGATTTTATAATATTTGATGTGCTTATTGTATTGCGACACAGCGTGTGCAACACAGTGTGTTTCTTCTCATCACCCATTGTGTATTAGTGATGATGAGGAATATATATATATCCGAAAAGTATTAGTGGTGTCTATTAGTGTAGGTAGAAATTTGGTACACCTTGACTCATTTGGACTGCCATCACACTCCCGGAAAAGCTCTCTTCTCTATCCAGTACGTGGACCAAATTGCTTATTTTGGTGGCTTTATTGCTTTATTGGTGGCCTAAGTTTTGTATGAGCATCACTTGATATGGAAGGCTACCCTGTCCTCCGCACGGCAGCAACGTGTAAGTCATTGGATAGCGAGTGGCGCTATATCACAGTTAACAGCTTATTCACGATGGTGGTTGCTACCCCCGTAGTACACTGGTCTTAACCACACACTGGCAACAGTCGCGTTATAAGTTCGAGCCCTACCATGGTTAAATGGAATGCGCACTGCTGACGATTCCGGAAAGGATGAAACGGCTGCACAGTGCGTTTCTGGGCATCTGATGGCTGTCTGGGTGAGTCTAGATAAGACGAACTTCTACCCATATATGGAATCGTTTGAACACGTCTACCGACCCTGTGAATACAAGCTAGGACAACACAACACAGCTGCAGTGATCTATCGGCAGTGGAGCACAAAGAGCTACCGCGGAATCCGTTATCACCTTAATGGCTAAAAATTAGCAAATGTTGTCAACCCATAAAGCAATGAACAAAGTTGTTGGATCCCGTTGCATCACCCTGGTCATCTCTGTACGTTAATGCACTTATTATATGTATCCTTTGCTCCTCACCTTCGGACTTATGGCTATTGTAGTCACCATATGTACGATGGTTCCGATAAATTGCTGAACATTATGTAATAAGCCTTCGTACTGTAATTCAGAGTAATAATTTGCGTTGACGAAATAAACACAATCCGTGGAAAGAAGTACACTTGTTCATCCTTGAGTTGTAACTCGCTTTCTCCAACGCATTTACTATGGCATGCAGTTGGACAGCTATGTATGAATATCAGTCATTCAGGTTTGACCTACATACACTCCGAAGGCATTCTGGATCGTCTCTGTTTATGAAGAGTGCATATTCCAACTATAAGTGCAGCTTGTGTACAGACGGAAAGTCACTGAGGTAAATAATTCCAAGGTAACTATTAGGCGACATTGCAACATGCGGCTCAAACACCGGACAGGAAACTAGTGCAACTCTCGTGCTCATCAAGCAGTCTGCTCCCAGTCAATGTTTGGTTGTTGTAGCTCGACATTATACAATAGTTGCTACTGTATTTTTTCGGACTTCATGTCACCATTTTCACTGTTTCTTGTAATGAACTAAACACACTACATTTTGTGTAAATTCCATAGATGATCAAAGCCAAGTTTCGTGAGGCTCTTGACAGACAGCTTGAACCATTGAATCGCCTCGCTGCTATCGCCGATCGTGACGGAGTATTTTTAAATGAATTACTCGCATCCATTCTCTATCCGGAGCCGACATTTTATCAGAAATTATATGCAGCTCAAAGAAACGATGTATTAGCCCGAGTTGCTCAGGATCTGGCCGCGTGTCTCGCAAAGCATTGAGCGTAGTGCTTTCAAACGTTTCGTTCTGAACTTACCTTATTAGCCTAGACTTTTCTTTCTTCTTATGAACACCGCTGCTTTTTGGTCAATGTACCCATGCACAAGACTTCAGTTGACTTGCTTTTCAAAGAGCGACAGCGCCATATACTAAATTATTTAATTAAATATAGAGTTTGTGTTGTAAACGGTCGAAGTGAAGCTCATCGTTGCGTGGGTGCATTGGGTCTCTTGAAAGCATATGAGTTAAGTGTGTGCTTACAGACGCCGTTCCTGATTTGACTGGATGATCATGGTTCTATGTAAATATACGGGGAATTCATAGCCAAACAAATCGGGACGCATTTTATGAAACTATAGACAGTAAACCAAAGACTGTTGAATCAAAAATCCAAATCCAATTACACAAAGAACACTGTTCGTCGTCAGTTAAGGAGTCATTTATCCATTACAGGTCTTTATACAGACTTTTAATTAGAGTGAAAAGGATTTATAAGTACGCAGCTAGGGTGCAGGGTTCACCGATCTCCACTTTGACATTGACGAAATTCAGTCCGTCGAACCCCTCTAAAACTTGATTCGACTTGTATGCGACAAGTTCTGAAGGGTTTTCACCTATGTTGTACAGCGATGTATGTCTTTAACACCACTGTCAGGAACCTTTCCTTTCTAACTAGGTGAAAAGTGGTCCACCACTGACATGGTCTATTCTTGCAGGTCTGGAGTATTATAATTATTTGATGCTTTTCCATAAATGAACCAAAATACTGTTTAAAATGAGTTACAATGCAGCTTGAGGTCACAGTGAAAGGATACTGCACCTGATGATGAGATTTTATCCTAATAAGTATCGTTTAGCTTAAAAGGTCAATTCGCCTTGTACCAGTGAAGGCGGCTTAAGTTGCGTTCCACTCCCGTTGTACTAGTAGCTAAACTGAGCGATAGGTTAATCACAAAAGTAACTGCCAACACTTTCAGACTGTGCTATTCCGGTTGGATACAGGCGCAATTGTTTAGACCTTTCGACCAACCAGAATGGAAAGTTAGTGACCTCAGCACAGAATACTGCCCAATGCAGCGACTGTGCTAACGCGGGACAAGCACTCTGAGGCTCAATTTGCCCTTAAAATTCCATTGACGAATCTGGATCTTCAGGAGTACCTAAGTAGGCCGATCGAATCGTTTGCAAATAATGCTGTAAAATCTGCCCATGTGGCTTGCACTATCAAGGGGAAAGTACCGGAAACTTTGTTGTTGATTTAACTTGCTGCACCAGCTCAGTTCTAGTTTCTGTTGAGGAATGTGATCAATTCTTGACAGCTAAGCTAGGCGTGTGCTAGATGCTGAACTCACGGCTGTTTAAGAATCGCAAAGCAAGGCATCGATTCCAGGTGAACAGGAGGATGATTTCACTATAATCGTTAAGAGTTTGCCGGAAGGAATACACTAGGCATTAAAATCGTTCTAATGCACAACAGCTATTGTTCTCTCCTCCATTGGACCATTTGCTTGGGCATAAAGATAAACAGTTTACGACTTCCTGCGTATAGGTTAAATCTCACATACCCAAATGCGAATACGAAAATGTTTCAGGTGATAAGACTCCGGATACACAGCATAACTTTGCTAACTTTCTAATGCGAAAATTGCATGGCTGTGTGGGGCTGACTTTCGCCATATATCCAATGTTTTCTGCATTTAAGCGATCTTAGTTGCGATATTCAGTATTGCGAAAATGGATCGTGTGATAAGACTTATATTTGTTACCACCGCCCCAATGAACACAACTAGCTCGGAAACACGCCCGCAACACTCCAAACGCAATCATCCATATCACAAGTTGTGTGGATAAAAATGACGGACTTGTGGTTTTGCTACCGACTGCTGGTTCAAGGCATACCTTTGACCTCTCAAAAGTTGTAATACATCTACGTAAAACAGAATGACCAGTAGCCAATATAACTTCATGAGTGTAACGGATGATCCGAATATTAGAAGTGCCTTACTGTATTTTTAGAGTATACAGCTTGCAAGGAGGTTTGCCAGCATAGTGTGAAGCCGAGGCATAGGGGGCATGAAGGATGAAAGAGCGCTAGCTTTGAGATAAATAAGGAGTTAGTGAAGATGTGGCTGATTGTAAATTCTTGTCGAATGAAATATAGTAATTCCCGTAGATAAACAACTGGTCTTACTAGTTAAGAAAAATAGATATTGCGAGGTAAGGAGTTTGCAGCAGCCTTAGTGCCATCGTATCTCGATGTAAGCGGACTAGCGTTTATGTGTTGGCTGTAGAACTGATAGAAATCCACGTTGCAGGCAAGTTCACGCAAAGATGTGCCATTTGGCACCCAACCTAACTAGCCAGTAAGGGAGATGCAAGCTCGGGTGACATTTCGAGGTCAAAAGCACAACTAGGTTATTTATTACCTTTTGGTTTCAACTCACATGTGAACGCGAAGCGTCATTCCTGTCCTGTCGACAAGCTCATGTCCAAGCAAGCGGCCAAGCCTAGTTCGTCGGCTTCCATTTGGAGCCTCTATCATCCTTTAGGTTGGCATGCCTTAATGTACGCATATTGCTACAGATTAGTCAACAGGCAGCATTTGCCCGAACATTAGATACCATCTCGATCGATATCTGATGCTTGTCGGAGACCGGCCTGCAAGACCCGAGCTTAGTGTTCACATTGCGATCCCCTTCAGGTGACACTAGCAGCCCGTTGTCATTGCGCGTATCCGGTGACGATGCAGGTTCGAGCACCGGCCAAGCCGGTGATGGTATTGTCCTGAGTCCCCGGACTGAAGCTACTCTGGTTGATTAGATTCCAATTAGTAGCCGGATGTGTGCGGTCCGATTGGCTGACTCGTTCAAAGCTTCGAAGGGGCGCAAGACTAACAGGAGCCTATTCGTTATGGCTGCCTATGCACCCACAAACTCTAGCGATGATTCGGAAGACACCGACCATGCATTTGTATGTGCTGAAATGCGGATACATTCTGGCAGACTCTCACAACGACGTTGTGATCGCATTGACACCAGCCAACTGGCGAAACCAGCTTTTCTGTATGCCTATCCAACTACGCTGTCATACAAGTTAAGTAAACGCTCACTAGATCCAATTAAAGCTCAGTGGTCTCATATTCATCAGAACTTACTAGGAGCAGGAAAATCCCCATGTGGTATGTCTAATCGCCAACATAGATATTGGGTCTCTTCGCAGTCTCTGGAACTTATCAATGCTCGCCGGCATATTCCGGCTGGAAGCGAGCACCATGAAACTCGCAAAGGGCTCCGGGCAAAACTCCGTGCTCACCTGAAGAGAGATCGCGACTCCTGGTGGTCACACCGTGCATCAGAGATGGAAATTGCCGATGGTTACCGAGTGCACTCGGTAACCGTCGTAAGTTATTCCGTCTGATACGGGAAACGGGCAGTAGGATATCTGGTGTTAGTGAAACTATACGTGACAAGGGTGGACAGCCTATCCACAACTTGTCAAAATGCTTGGAGCGTTGGGATGAGCACTTTGAAAGGCAATTTAATCAGTCGGAATTGTTAGATTTCTCACCAGCCAGTGAACTCCTTGCTCCCTAAACTGTCCCTTTGGATCCACCCTCTCGCTCAGAAGTCGAACTTGAGACCGGACTGCTGAAGTTGAACAAAGCCGCGGGACAAGGTGATCTTCCTTCAGTCGCTCCGTCATAGTCGCAATTTTTCAGAGAGGCTCAAGATCGGAATGCGGCGACCATAGAGGAATCAGTCTGATATCCATCCCCACCAAATTGCTTGCCTTTGTCATCCTTCACAGACTGAATAGCGCAGGTGAAAAACAAATTGGTGAAGAGCAAGTCGGGTTTCGTCGATGTCGTAGCTGCCTTGAACACATCTTCACCTTGCGTCAGTCGTTGGAGTACCGTCACATATATGAACGGCCCACCGTTGTCGTCTTCCTCGATATCAAAGGTGCATTCGATTCGGTGGATAGACATGCACTTTCAGACTGTCTATTCAGGAAAGGTGTACTTTAGAAATATGTAAATATTATCCGAGCATTATATGCGCGTAGCTCGGGCAGAGTGAGGGCTTACGGCAAGTTGTCGATGCTCTTTAATTTCTCCAGCGGAGTGAGACAAGGATGCCCGCTGTCACCTTTCCTCTTCAACTTCGCTGTTGACGAAGTCATGGAAATCACGTTCACAGGACACCACTTAGAAGGTGTGGATGTGCTCCTAGGAGAACGACTTCTTGACTTGGAGTATGCTGACGATATTGCCCTAATCTGTAACAACTCACAAACGTGCCAAGCTGAACTGGACAGCTTAGCAATGGCTGTCCGTCAATTCGAGCTTTGCTTCGCGCCATTGAAATGCCAAACGTTCCTCTAGGCTTGGCCTTGACCGCCTACTACGCTGACCCTTGGTGAGGATCATCTAGAAGTCGTTCAAAAATTCAACTACCTGGGAAGTTGTATCAACACCCGTGGGATTGAAGATGAGATCATGAACCGTATATCAAAAGCTCGTGGCGCCGGCGCCAACTTATGGCGCCGGTGCGGCATCACTCTCGCCCTGAAGGATAGAGTGTACAATGCAGCGGTAGGTTCGACCCTACTGTACGGTTGTGAAACCTGGCCCCTTAAAGCAGAGGACCTGAAGACGCTAGTTAGGTTCGATCACCGGTCCCTTCGCAAATTAGCTCACATCTGGTGAGAACACCGCATGAGCAACAAACGTGTTCGATGCCTTGTTTACGGCCCAGGAAATGGAACTGAACCGCTCAGCACCGTTATTTCACGCACCAGGCTCCGATGGCTCAGCCACGTGTTATGTATGCCAGTCCCCCGACTCCCGCGAAGTGCGTTGTTTGTGCGCCGGGGAGGGCGAGCTGGATGGAAGAAGAGTTGATGTGACCAAGACATAACTTGGTCAAGAGGAATGAAGGCCCTCACTTCGAAGCTGGCGTCGGTTGGAGCATCTCATCTCCCTGGTTCGGGTCCGAAAGGCGATGGACTCGTTTGGCTGGATACACGTGCTGATATGGCTAGGAACCGACCTCAGTGGCTTTCTTGCTGTGAGTTTCTTTGTCTTACGCCATTCCTTTTAGCCTCCCCCTCCAACCACCATCTCCCTATTTAACGTTATGTAATTTTGTATAGTAATTTTTTGATTACATAGCAGCCGGCTA